TTCTGAAACTTGCTTTTTGTAAGAATCAGATGCTAATTCCACAGAGGTGATTGAATAAATGTATCCTAATCTTGATCTAAAAGGCACCCCCTTTGGGGAAATTTAGATAAAACTTGGTTTACTGTCTGTAGGTAAACAGTCTAATCTGTAAAGGAACTCAATGTTATACATGCTGTCACTAGTCTGATCTGAGCAATGGAAGCCAGAGCTTTACTAGGGTGAAGCTCATCTCAAAGTGCAGAATTGCTTTCCCCCAGTCTGAATTGGCCAAAGTGTCGAGAAGGGCATCTAAACTGATTAAATTAGAATAGATTAATATCTAGTTCTAAAATACTGTGAATTTTTTTCTATACTTTATTGCATCTCATTTTCAGTGAACAGTCATTTGGAGAGAACAAGAATATTATCAGCTCTTAATTTCTGTTGCATCATGGGATTTACACCAGAGAATATTCCTCTAAACCAAAATGCTCTGCAGAAGAGGAACAATGGACATTGGAGGTTTCCAAACGGAAGTTGATGGATTTACCCAAAAAGGAAAGTTGCTAACTCCTGGACCAATGCAATGGAATATTATTAAAGAGTTATGTTTTAACACTAGTGAGAACCATCTTCCATGGGGAGGAACTGAACAGCAAGTAAGGTAGAAGGTATAAATATCTGTTGGTTCTCATTGATAGCTTCAGTGTATGGGCAGGAGCTTTTTCAATGTGTACTGAGAAAGCCAGAGAATGGCTTGGTGTTTCTGTGTCCATTAGAAAAATATGGACACAGGAAGTCATATTATCAACCAAACCTGTTTGTATAGTTAATCCTTTTCATTGTTTTAGTGATAGAGATGGGTATGGCCTTATGTTGCTTTGGTTTCTGTTGCTTTAACTCTTGTTTTTTAAGACAGCAAACAACATTGTCCTCACTGGGTCAGAAAGGAACTTCTAATCCTTCAGGATCTAACCATTTCAAAGTAATATCCCTCAGTCTAATCTATTTGCTCTTTTCTTTCAGATAACTTCAGGAACCCAACAAATTCATTGCCTGAGGCCCATTATAAATTTAGGTAGTCTGAGATTTCCCCCTTTCACAAGCAGGGTCTGCGCCCCTTGTCAGCATGAAGCAGCTTCAGAAGATAGACAGCAGACTAATTTCCCCTTAAAGATTTAAGGTGGTCTAATCTCTAGGGGGGATATGATGTAGGCAGGTAGACAGGGAAGGCCCCCTCCCAAAGCAATGACAAAAGCCAGCCCTGCAGAAAATAGGAAAACAGGAACTAAGCCTTAATAAGACCCTCACCTGGCTCCAGCAAGAGACCCAAAGAAGCTCCTGCAGGAATAAAAGGCCAGGAAAGGAATTTCAAAGAAGACCATCACCACTCCCATCCTCCCTGGTAACCTCCTTAGCAACAGACTTTTTCCTGGGAGGAAGCCCCACGTGGGGGCAGGTTGGAGAAACCCTATAAAGGCCACCTTGAACAAAGAAGGCCTGTGCATATGCTGCCCGAGCCCATGTGCTGCTTGCGCCCATGTGGCCAAGCACATGTGGTGCCCGAGCACAAGTGTCACCCACATCTCCCTCTTGAGATGTGTACTTTCATGCTTCGTGTCTAATGCTAGGATGTGTCTAGGGGTTCTCCACCCTTGGAGAAGCCCGTGCTCTCTCTTGAGTATGTTTCTCTCTCTCTCTCTCTCTCTCTCTCTCTCTCTCACTCTCTCTCTCTCTCACACACACACACACACCTAAAAATTCTCCAAATAAAATCTATTTGTTTCACTGCTTGTCTACTCCTGAAATTCCTTTCTGTGAGGTGAGACAAGGACCCAGTAACCCTGGGTCCCGGGTGGCAGAGGCGAGTGGGGAGAAAGTGACCATCTTTCTCCTCCCCACTTCACATAAGTCACCCATGGGGCCCACCGACATCAGCTTCAGTGTATGGGCAGAAACTTTTCAATCTGCCTTGAGAAAGCCAGAGAATGGCTTGGTGTTTCTGTGTCCAGTAGAAAAATCTGGACACAGGAAGTCATTTTTCTATCAGCCAAACCTGTGGGTAGAGTTAACTCTAGATTTTTTTTAAGACAGCAAACAACTCTGTCCTTACTGGGTCAGAAAGGAACTCCTACTCCTCCAGGGTCTAACCATTTCAAAGTAATATCCCTCAGTCTAATCGAACTGATCTTTTCTTTCAGATTACTTCAGGAACCCAAACAATTCATTGCTGAGGGCCACTAAAAAGCTGAGGTAGCATGAAATTTAACCCCTTGTGTGGGCAGGGCCAGCGTCCCATTGTCAGCATGAAGCAGCTCCAGAAGATGGACCTTCTGCCATTCTCCCTTAAATCCGGTTTAAGAGAGAGCCTGTTAGCCTTACCCTGGCAGTGTTGTCGGGATTAGGAGTAGCTGCAGGGAGAGGTACTGGAACCACCTCACTAATCAAGGCTCCTAAACAGCTGGAACAACTGCACATAGCTATTAATCAAGACCAAAAGGCGATTGAAGGCTCCATATCAGCCTTGGAAAGAAGTACAACATCCTTGTCAGAAGTGGTCCTCCAAAACAGGCGAGGGCTGGACTTGTTATTCCTGAAGGAAGGTGGGTTATGTGTGGCCCTAAGGGAGGAGTGTTGTATCTACGCTGACCACACTGGGGTGGCCAGAGACTCCATGGCCAAGTTAAGAGAAAGAATACAGGCCCAGGAGAAACATCTGCTGGATCAGCAGGGTTGGTTCAAAGGATGGTTCCACAAGTCCCCATGGCTGACCACTTAACTCTCAGCCCTAGCAGGACGTCTCGTTCTGCTCTGCCTAATAATGACAATCGGCCCTTGCCTTCTTAGTCACCTGCTTGCATTTATACAAAACCGACTGGGAGAGGTCAAGCTATTAGTGATGAGACAACAATACCAGGCATTACAGAATGAAGGTCTCTAGGATTAGAAGACCTACTAGAAGAAAAGGAGGGGGGGGGGATGAAAGATAGCCCCATGACAATTGGGCCCCAGCAAAGCAAGTCCCAGCCCATATCCTGTCCTGCAGCTGCAGCTGGCTAGCAACACCAAGTACCCCATCTCCTCCTTGCACCTGGAATTTGCCAGATAAGGCCACAAGGCCATGTAATAGTTCAAATGTATTGGATGCTTTGTGTGCGGGTTTGTTCTGAAATGCGTGGGAAGATATCCTATAAAAAGCCCCCTCTGAAGGGGCTTTGGGCTCTCAGTCACTGACGGTTTGTGGTCATGCTGTAAGCCCGAGCATGCTCGAATAAACCTCTTGCTTTTGCATGGACTTGGTCTCTCAGAGTTTTCCTTGACAGGTGAGACTGTCCTGAGCTCGGACCCTAAAAGGACCCCCTCATACTCTCTTCCCCTCGTGACTACAAGACACTGTACAAAAATTAAAATCATACTTAAGATAAAGTTCCTGCTCACACTCTTTCAACTACTGCATTTCACATGGATCTCGCAGTATCACAGAAGTTTTGACCTAAGTTCTAGTCAGAGAAGAAGAAATGTAGAATAGATGGTCTAAAACTATTCTCAGTAACATATCAGGAGATGTCTTGAGACAAAAATCTTATATCCCATTCTTTCTGGTCCTGAATCCAAAAAAATGTCCTAAAAATTTAGTGTATTTCATGATTTTTGATTGGGACAGGGGTAAGAGGTAAATTTCTCTTCAAACTCCAAAAATCTATTTGCCACTGTTATTAGTGTCCCCAAACCCCTGTCTCTTTTCTCCTTTTTTCCCTGAATCTAATGTCCTCCCCAGTATCCAGCTCCATTTCTCTCTTATTTCTCTTCTTCCACCTGGACCACCTGGACTGTCCTCTCCCAATCTCCTTCAAAGTCATATGCCACCTATATTGCACTCTGACACCATAACCACTGGATTTCTAGTTGGGAATATGGTATAAGTCACAACGTCTCAAAAGAACAAAGAAACAGACCAGATGTTTTTCCAATATAAATGCTAGTTTCATAATCCAAAAACAGTTCAAAATTTGCATTTCTCATGTGAAACATTCTTACTGGGCAGTTTAGTTTAACAAGTATGACATCTTGATTAGTCACACAGCTTTAGTTAGTGAAACCTTATCTTAATTGAAAAATATTAGCATTCTTTACTAAGTTGTTATTAAATACAAACTATTTTATGGGAATACAATGATGTATCATTCCAAAGAAAATATAAAATTCAGGGAGAGAGGATAAAAAAGGAAAGAAATGTGTTTGTCAACAGCCAGAATTTCAGTAAAAGATGCCCTTTCTTTCAGACTGAAAAACAAGCACACATCATTATGTTCTTCATATTTCAAGTCAAACTTGCTCTAACCCTAAACATAAAAGGGGAACATAGCTCAGTAGTACACTGTGTGCTTTGCATGTATGAGTTTCTCAATTTGGTCTGTGGTACCATAAAAAAAGTGAAAAAAATTTAAATGCTAAATTATTTGGTAATGACTAGGTTCAGCCTATCATTCTCAATTTCAAAATACCAACCCTCTGCCTTCCACTATCTATTAATAAATTAAAAATATTTAGACAGACAAAAAACCAGTTCTGACAGGCAAATTTATTAGTTCACATATTATGAAATATACGGTATTCAAGTTTGCTGTCACTCTAGGATACAAAAGACCTGCTGGTTAACTGTGACTTCTCAGTATGTAAGTAGTCAAGTATCTGGGGAAGGAGGATTTACAATATAAAGGCAAAGAGCTTGCCTCCCTTGTCAGATTACAATGAAATTTATTCTTTATTTCCCCTGCCCCAGAAATATGTAGGTCACATAGGCAGGACAGCAAATACTGATGCAAAAATACATACCTGTCCTTCTCTTTCCCATGTTCTCAAACCCTCTGCTTCTGTGAAGATAACATTTCTGAAAAGCACTTTCCCCCCCTTCTCCTCTCTCTCTCTCTCTCTCTCTCTCTCTCTCTCCTCTCCCTCTCACCCTCTTTTGGTCCCATCCCCACCCCATGCTTTTGCGCTTTGCAACAACTTTACATTACCAAATTGTTCCTCTCCACTGATAGGCATGCAGTTATGATGTTCCAGCCAGTCACTATTTTTCTGCATTTCTTTTGGTGAGTCCTCCACCTCCATTGTCTCCTCTTTGTTGACAGAAACTGGATTATGCAAAGCAGGAACTTAAATGAAGGGGTTGAATGTCAGTTTCTTTGTCTAGGCTGTAACCCCAGTACAGGCATCGTTTTTAAAGAAAAAGAATAGACTTGCTACAATTATAGCTGGAGACTAAAATTTCAACAATCCTGAATAAAATGGACTAAATCTGGAAACAACAGGATAAACTTCTGAGGGCTGCAACAAGGTTTTATAAACAGGGATAGAAACTGAAAGTCGATGCAGCAGCTGTTCATTGGCTGAGTCCTGCTTAGGCACAAGAAAATGAAAGTTAGGTTTGTTCTGCCCACACAGGGCCTGCTCCAGAAAATCTATGAACATCGGGAGGTCAGTGACAGTGACAGTCACAGTGACAGTCACAGTGACCGTCACAGTGACAGTGACTGCCCACATATTTATAGCAAACTAAAAGCCCTTTATCTCTCTCTCTCTCTCTCTCTCTCTGTGTCTCTCTCTCTGTCTCTCTTTGTATCCCTTTCATTTTCTCTCTCCTCTTTTCCCCTCTCCCTCTCTCTTGCTTCCCCCCTCTTTTGGTTTTTGGGTCACATTGGCAATACTCAGAGGTTCCTTCTGGTGGTTCTTCACCCAGAAATTAGTCCTGGCTGTGCTCAGGTCACTTGATCACTTGACTTCCCGTTAATCATCGATTTGCCTGAGCGGGCGCCAGTGACGTCTCCATTTGTCCCTATCACGTGCTAGTGTAGTCCAATGGCGTCTGTTTGTTCTAGGAACATGAAGAGCCTCAAACCGATCATTCAGGGTCTTGACGAAGAAGTCTGACCATCTGGTAGGTGGCAGCCACATGGTCTTTCGACATCCCATCGAATCCAGTTGGTAATGGCTCTAGTCCAGCGATCGTCTCCAAATGTCATGACGTGTCCAGCCCATCTAATTTTTGATTCCTTGGCAAACGAGACAGCATCCCTGATTCTTTTTTTTTTTTTAGCATCCCTGATTCTTGACTGTCGATGGAGATCAGAACTCCGGATTCTTTCTCTCATTTGAGTGAAGCGTGATACTACAAGCATCACTTAATCACTTAATCACTTAATCCCCGTTATTCATCGATTTATTCGAGCGGGTGCCAGTAACGTCTCCATTCATCACGGTTGCGTGCTAGCGTAGCCCAATGGTATCTGTTCGTTTTAGGAACATGTAGAGCCTCAAACCGATCATTTAGGGTCTTGACGAAGAAGTCTGACCATCTTATAGGTGGGCGTCCACGTGATCTTTTGATGTCTCGTGGAATCCAATCAGTAATGGCTCTAGTCCAGCGGTTGTCTGTAAACCTCATTACATGTCCAGCCCATCTGATTTTTGATGTCTTGGCAAATGAGACAGCATCTCTGATTCTTGAGCGTTGACGAAGATCAGAACTCCGGATTCTATCTCTCATTTGAGTGAATCGTGATATTCCAAGCATAGTTCTTTCGATTCCTCTTTGAGAGACCCGAATAGTGTTCTCATCCTGTTTTCGTAGGGTCCAGGTCTCTGAGGCATATGTTAATGCAGGAAGAATAGTGGAATCAAAGAGATGTGCTCGTAGTTGGAGGTTCTTTGTCCTTTTAGTTATTTCTTCAATGCTCTTGAAGGCATTCCAAGCCGCTCTCTTCCTCCTGCGTAACTCAGGTGCCAGGTCATTCATCATGTTGATTTCTCGACCTAAGTATATATAACTGTTGCATTCGGAGATGGTGGTTCCGTTGAGAGCGAATGGAGCATCAGGAACAAGGTTGTTTCTCATAAACATTGTCTTCGTAAGATTCAGCTGTAGTCCGACCTTTCCACACTCACGGTCAAAGTCCGCAAGCATTTGTGCCGCTTGGCTGATGTTTGGTGTTATTAGAACGATGTCATCAGCAAAGCGGAGGTGGTGTAGTTGCCGACCATCTATCTTCACTCCCATGTTTTCCCATTCTAGTCGTCGCATGATGTTCTCGAGGGTGGCACTGAAGAGTTTTGGTGAAATGGTATCACCCTGCCGAACCCCTCTCTTGATATGGATGATTACTTCTTTGTAGAATGGTGAGATCTTGGTAGTGAATCCGCAATAGAGCTCACGAAGGATCCTGATGTATTGAGTTTGTACGCCCTGATTGGCTAGGGCTTCCATGACCGCTTCCGTCTCAACAGAATCAAAGGCCTTCTTTAAATCAATGAACGTTAGACAGAGCGGCATCTTGAACTCCCGAGATACCTCAATGAGCTTGGTTATTGTGTGGATATGGTCGATGGTACTGAATCCTTTTTCGGAATCCAGCTTGTTCACATGGTTGTCCTTCATCTAGTGTTCTGCTAATCCTATTCAGGATGACTCGAGTGAATAGTTTGTAGATGACAGACAATAGGCAGATTGGGCGATAGTTGCCAATGTCGTGGATGTCTCCTTTCTTGTATAGTAGTACAGTCTTGCTGGTTTTCCATTGGGATGGAACCTTGCATTCAGACAGGTAGCGTGTGAAGAGTCGAGCTAATGTATTGATGAGTACTGATGGTAAGTTCTTCAGGTGTTCAGGTCTGATCTTGTCTGGGCCAGGTGCTTTTTGTTTCTTTACCGACGAGATGGCATGTTGGATTTCGGAAGGGAGAACATTGGGAACGACATATCCATCATGTGGTATGTGGTATGTGGGCAAGTGGATGTGGCTATTAAAGAGATCTGAGTAGAATTCATGAATAATCTTCTCCATTGCCCTTCTGGAAGATGTGATAGATCCATCATGATGTCGGAGGGCAGTCATCTTGGTTTTGTAGTTGGTGAAGGACAGGCGGGCATTACGAATGTTTTTCCCAGCTTCTGCTGCATCTACCAGTACTGCTGCTCTCCTGTTTTTGAGGTCATCCTTGATGGCTTTTCTGCACTGTTTTGCCAGTTCAGACGTTTGCTTGTGGTTGCCTGAGGCACGTGCCACGCCACGTTGGCGAATGAGTTCAAGAGTGTTCGAAGAAAGACGGTTTTTTGTGGTTATCTCTCTCTTGGCATTCCTTGCACAATCATGGAGGTGCTGAATCATTCGATCGTATTCCTCATCAATGTTGTCAATGACGGCATCTTCCCATGTTGCTGCAACAGAGCCAAAGAGTTCCCAGTTGGTGGTTGTTCTGGGAGTCTTCTTCTTAAACCTTGCATTCTTTTCTCCTCGTTCTGTGAGGTAGAATTTTGCACGAAGAAGACGGTGGTCTGATCCCGTTTGGAATTTTGGGACAACAGCAACATCGGTTAGGCAAAACCGCCGATTGAATATGATGTGGTCTATTTCATTGTGGAACCGTCCATCGGGAGACTCCCATGTCCAACGTTTAGATTCAGCCTTTTGGAATTGTGAGTTACCATGGAAGGTTTTGGTTGACATGATGAACTCAGACAGTCTGTCACCTTGTTCGTTCCATTCCAGGCCATGGGTTCCGATGTGGAGTTCATCGACTGATCTTCTTGGTCCTATCTTGGCATTAAAATCACCAACAATGATCTTGTAGAAGGTGTGATCTTCTTTATAGAATTTCTCCAGCTCCATGTAGAATTTCTCAGTTTCTTTTTCACCATAACTGGATGTTGGTGCGTAGACAACAAAGATAGAAACTGCCGGTAGTGAGCCACATTTATTCAAGTGTAATCGTCCGATTCGGGTTGTTAGGCATTCAAATGAATCAATGCTTGTGACTAAGTTTGTGTTGACAAGGATACCGACACCACCGACGCCTCTTTTATCACATGTTCCAAGGAACAGTTCTTCTCCAGTGTCGAAAACAGCATGATGGGATTGATGTCTTCTCGTTTCGGTCAGACCAATGATGTCGTACTTGATCTTTCGTGCTTGTACCATAAGGTCTTCAATGGATGCAGCAGATGCCAGCGTACGAGCATTAAAAGTACAGACAATCATTTTTGTTTTTCTGCGTTTTGGCAGCCCATGTCTGCCTTGGTGTTTTATCAGCTTCTCCTTCCATATCCTTCTCGACTCTGCATAATCAGGGCTAGGGGAATGAGATCCATTTATTACTGGATTTGGCATATCAATTTGGTCTATTTGGCATAGATCACGGATAGCTTGCCAGGCTCAGCCGTGTGGGTTGGATATTTAAGGATATTTAAGGTATCCGGAAAATTATTAAATAAATAGTCGCGCGGCCGCGTTCGCGGCCGCGCGCTCCCGGGAGCTTGTTGTGATAATCTTTGGATCCTGGCCTTTGTTGGGGTTACACGGCAGTTGGAGGGTGTAACTGTTTAGCTACTGACAGGTCCAGTCCCAAACCGTGCAGGCTTAGAGATCTCAGTCCCGGGTCCCACACACCTGGGTTCCTCTGCCAGTTCGGTTATGTCTGAGGCTTATCCAAGTGTGTGGAGAGTGGCTCCAGTAAGGCCTTGGTTGGGGCCTGGAAGTCTTCAGCTGTTGGGCCCTGGCGAGGATAGTCAGACACAGGGTAGGAGACTCTGCCTTGTGCTCTCCCGGGAGCTTGTTGTGATAATCTTTGGATCCTGGCCTTTGTTGGGGTTACACGGCAGTTGGAGGGTGTAACTGTTTAGCTACTGACAGGTCCAGTCCCAAACCGTGCAGGCTTAGAGATCTCAGTCCCGGGTCCCACACACCTGGGTTCCTCTGCCAGTTCGGTTATGTCTGAGGCTTATCCAAGTGTGTGGAGAGTGGCTCCAGTAAGGCCTTGGTTGGGGCCTGGAAGTCTTCAGCTGTTGGGCCCTGCCGAGGATAGTCAGACACAGGGTAGGAGACTCTGCCTTGTGCTCTCCCGGGAGCTTGTTGTGATAATCTTTGGATCCTGGCCTTTGTTGGGGTTACACGGCAGTTGGAGGGTGTAACTGTTTAGCTACTGACAGGTCCAGTCCCAAACCGTGCAGGCTTAGAGATCTCAGTCCCGGGTCCCACACACCTGGGTTCCTCTGCCAGTTCGGTTATGTCTGAGGCTTATCCAAGTGTGTGGAGAGTGGCTCCAGTAAGGCCTTGGTTGGGGCCTGGAAGTCTTCAGCTGT